TCTCCACGCACTGGGCCCCGTCATCCCCTGTGGGTGCCCCAGCGCCGCGGCCTGGCCACTGCCATGGATCCTGCTGACGGGGCCGCCAGCGCCAGCACACTCAGGCGAGAAGTATTCCACCTCTGAGTGGCCGTTTCTCCCCCCCCTCCGCGGCCGCCTCGTCTGTCATTTACCCGCTCTTGCACGCTGGCCAATCCGCTTCTCGATGCCCCCATTTAGCTCTAGCGCTGGTTCAGCCAACTCTGCCTCGCCGCCGACGGAAAAAGCGTTCTCGACTTCTCGGCTCCCCGATGCTCCCAGACGGCCCCAGAGGCCCCAAGACCACCCCAAGACGGCCCAAGAGGCCTCCAAGAGGTCCCCAAAATGGCCCAGGAGGGCCCCAAGACGGCACAAGAGGCGCCCAAGACGGCCCAAGAGGGCCCCAAGACGGCCCCACGTCCGAGCCTTCCGCCCCAAAAGGCCCCCAAGAAGCCCCAAGAGGCGCCCAGGAGGCCCAAAGAGGCCCGCAAGAGGCCCCAAAAGCCCCTGGCGTGCTAGACCCTACCGGTTTGGGTTTCGGTTGTTTTCCCAAACAACTCCCCCTGGGGTTTCGGACCGTTCCTCCAGCCACCTGAAAGGACCACAAAACCGGAAGTAATCCTCCACGAGCCTCCAAGATGGCCAAGATGGCCTCCAAGTTCGCCCAAGATGGTCCCAAATGGTTCCAGATCGGCCCAGGAGGGTCCAAGATGCCGCCAAGTCCGCCCAAGAAGCCGCCAAGACGGTCGAAGAGGGCTCAAGAGGCTGCCCAAGAGGCCTCCAAGACTGCCCAAGAGGCGTCCAAGACGTCCACCAGGAGGGCCCGACGAGGCCAAAATCATTAGCATGTGCTTCTGTTCGGCCTTCAGACAGCACAAGACGGTCCACGAGGCCCCCAAAGATCGCTCCAAGATCGCCAAAGAGGGCTCCAAGATGGCCCCGGAACGGCTCAAGAGGCCCCCAACACTGCCCCAAGTGGGCCCCCAGACGGCCCAAGTAACTTCAAAAACGCCCAAGATGGCCTCCAAGACGGCCCTTGAGCACCCCAAGCGGGCCCCAAGTCGGCCCAGAGAGCCCCCTAAGACGGCTTCCGACGGCGTCAGACGGGCCAGGAGGCCACCAAGACGGTCCAAGATGGCTCCATGATGTCCCAAAACTGCCCCAAAGGCGTCCAAGAGGTCTCCAAGACGCAAGAAGCCTCCAAAACGGCTCCAAGATGGCCCAAAGACTGCCCAGGAGACCTCCAAGAAACCATAGATGACCTCTAAGCGGCCCTGGAGCACCCCAAGAGGGCCCCAAGTCGGCCCGGAGAGGCCCTCAAGACGGCTTCCGACGGCGCCAGACGCGCTAGGAGGCCATCAAGACGGCCAAAGATGGCTCCAAGATGGCCCACGACGACCCAAAGAGAGGCCCCCAAGAGGGATTCAGGAAGGCCCGAAGAGGCCAAACTCATTGATCTTCCTGGGGATGTTGAAGGGTGTTGGCATTTGTTTCTTTTCGGCCATCCGACGGCCCGAGACGGCCCAAGAGCCCCCCAAGATCGCCCAAGAGGCCTCCAAGATAACCCCAGAATGAGCCAATAATCCTTAAAGACGGTTCCAAGACGGCCCAAAGACTGCTCGAGAGGCCTCAAAAACGCCCAAGATGGCCTCCAAGACGGCCCTTGAGCACCCCAAGAGGGCCCAAAGTCGGCCCAGAGAGGTCCCCAAGACAGCTTCCAACGGCGTCTGACGGGCCAGGAGTGCCCTAAGATGGCCAAAGAGGCTCCCGAGAAGCCCCAAAAGGCCCCCCAAAGGCCCAAGGAGGCCCCGAGTTGTCTCCAAGAGGCTCCCACGAAGCTCCCAGGAGGCCCCAAGAGTGCCCCCCGAGGCTCCCAAGATGTCCCCTCCTCCTCCTCCTCCTCCTCCTCCTCCTCCTCCTCCTCCTCCTCCTGCTCCTCCTCGTGCTCCTCCTCCTGATCTTCCACGCCATCATTCCTCAAGTGTTCCCGAAGGGTTTCTACAACGGCTGGGGAACAGATGGCCCGATAACTTGGCAGAGCTCTTGCCACAACGCTCGGCCACGTGGGCGATTCCAAAAGGCAGGGGGCGGCGGCGATTCACCGTAGGCGTGTTCGATAGTAACTGAGACTTCAAACTCAGCGTAGCAAGCGGCATGCAAATGATGACTTCGGCTGAAACACTTGCCGATGCAGAATCAGCACAAGCTGAGATATGGAAACTTCGGAAACCATAGAAACAATGAAGACTATGATGCCATATAACATATCAGTCCCCGTGCTCTCAGCCACGCTGGCCCATGTGAGAAGATACCTGGTCTGTATTGCTGTCTACGAGGGGTCAATGACAAGACGATGGAACAAAGATACAGTAGTTAGTATAAATATGACAAGTCTGTGAAACAGCGTGGCCCAAATGCAAATCGCACAACGACTGGGTGGTTTGACCCTGCCGGGAAATCAATCAAGGAAGATCAAGGCAAACCGTATGCCTGTAATCAACTCGGAACAACTCAAACTACAAATGCTTATATATGTTCTGCGGGTAACGACACTGGATCAAATGTGGTAAGATCGTACTCGAAATGATCCTCCTGCCGTAAACGGTGGCAACGCAATGTGCGCTGGGAGGGGACGGGCACGCTCACAGTGAGCTACCTGGAAGCAACGCTGGCAGCGCGAAAAGCTTAAGGTGAACTCCCTGCTGACAAGGCTGGCAACGCGATGTGCGCCAGCCGCGAGCCAGCACACGCGGAGTCAGTTTCTTGGTCTTGGCAGCAACACTGGCAACGCCATGTCCGCCGAGAGAGAGCCGTCCCATCCTGAGCGACCTTCCCGGCGACAATGCTCAGAACGTGATGTTAGTCAGGAGGGGGCCATGACGATGACGGTGAGCTTCCTGCCGACAGCGCCAGCAAGGCAAAGTGCACTGGAAATGAGCTAGCAAACTCGGATGAGAATTCCCAGCAGCCACGCTGGTAGCAACGCTAGCAACGCGATGTGCGTTAGAAGCGAGCCACTCGGAGTGAGCTTCCTGGCAGCAACGCTGGCGACGCGAAATGTATTAGAATAGAACCAACAACACGCGGAGTTAATTGCTCTGCAATCAAGCTTAGGTTAACGCTGGCAGCGCGATGTACGCTGGCCACGAGCTGGCATGCTCAGAAGGCATTTGCTGGTAAGGTCGGCAGCGTGACTGGCAACGCAAAATGCAATGGAAGCAAACTGGCACAATCGGATGGAACGTCTTGCCGAGAACGCTGTCGGCAAGCTGGGCGCAGACGTCCCGCACGCTCGGATGAAGCTTACCGGCAGAAACGCCGTCTGCGGCCCATCTTAGCTTTTCTTTGGGGGTCTGGTCGGGACCTCTTGGGGCCTTCTTGGGAATTGGGCCCTTTCGGGCCCTCCCAGGGAGCTCTGGGACCAGCCTCTCGACAAACAGCAATCGGCACAATAATTGTCATAAAAAGAAACGCAGGCCCCAAAGCATTCTCATCAGCAAAATTCGCAAAAGAGCACCACGCAGTCTCTGCCAGATCCAGGCAGCAGTCGCAGACAAAAAGCCACCTCGGCAGGAAAAAAGGCGCACAAATCGCAATCTCGCAAGTCCATCTCATCCAAACTGCCAATGCGCCTTCCATCCACCAAACGTATACCAACATTCCAGAACTCCACGGCAAAAGCAGATCCAGGATCCAGAGCTCCGGTCCGTAAGATGTGGCGGAATAGGCTTTCTATGTACGTCGCAAGGGGAAGCGCTTGTATGAATGCAAGGAATAACAGCTATTTGATAGAGAGACTCAAATGCCGGGTGCCGGCGGCGCTAGGCACAAAGCGGAGTGCCATATCGCAGTCAGCTCGAAGCTAGGATGAAGGCAGTAGCGTGTGATGCAGGAGGCGTGGCCTTGGCGGGAGCATGCGTTTTCGTTGTCGGTCAGAGACCTCCAACGGCCCTGGGAAGCACTCCACCCCTCACCCTCGCTGCTTGCTCGTCCCACACGCCGTTGTCTACGGCCCTGGGGCCCGAAGGCGGGCCTCAGGCATGAGAAAAGCAATCGGGAAGGAGCACGGTCCTGATCTGTGTGCTGTCGCCCCTAAGGTCTCGGGAGGCGGACACTTTAGGCAACCACATGTGGCCCCTGCAGGTCGATCTGTGAGAAGCTGTCTGGGGTCGAGATGTGAAGCGATGCCGGCACCCAAATGAACCCCAAGGCGGCCCCAGCGGGGGGTTCCGATATCCCAGCGCCGCCGTTAGGACCGGCAGGAGTAGGGTTCGATAGCGGTCGCAGACCACTTTTCGCCAAGTAATGACACAACACACATAAACATGTTCGGACATCCACGAGGACTTCTTGGTCGGCGCTGACGCTCCCTGGGCGGGCGGGGCACCTCCAGCGCCGCCCCTGGCGCGCTCCGCGCAGCAGGGAACGGGGGCCAAGCGAGTATTCAAGACATCTGCGCAGACCTCCGACAAGCGGGCGCAACAAATGTATCAATGACATGCCGCCGTGGGCAAGCCATCAACGCGAAAAATTTGAAGAATCGCCATGCAGTCGGCCTACAACTAAGGAGCAATACGCTGACGGGTTCCCAACGGCGGCTTGTCATTAAAACTCCCGGCTGCTCCCGACCACATTTATCGTTATACAGATGCGTCGTCTTAGCAATATCCGTATTAGTATAGTTCCTCGCATTATTGTGCTTACAACTCGAACCATTATTTGTATCATGGGTAATCGTAAGACTCGCGCGATGCTGCTTTGCATCAATAATGTCATTCTTATTAGTCGGCTTATTCGAATTATCTGCGCGAGCGTCATGCATAACAATTTTAACTGCCAATCTGGCTCGACCATACCCATCCTGCTCGCCACCCTTCTGCCAGAATGGCCGTGCGCGGAAACGAAGACAACCCTGGCCCGCCAGTGCTCCACGGAGTGAGCTGCTACCCGCCCCGCGCCGCGGCGCGGCCCCGCGGGCCCACCATCGTGGCGCACAGCCCCGCGAAGTACCTGCCGGTGTGGCGGAAGCGGGAACGGCGGCCGAGGCCCAGGGCAGCCAGCCAGAGCAACCGGGGCAGAGAGGCGAATCAGCATGAAGGACGCGAGTCCTATGGGCAACGAATCCTGTTGGTGGTTCAAGTCTTGTCCGGCGTCGCCAATGCAAGCTGGAGGTGGCGTTGGCTGGCGTTGCCCACGTAGGTCGTAAAGAGCGCCCCCCCTGCGAGTTTGGAAACGCTCCCCCCCAGAACTCTCGAAGGCGAGCCCGCAGCTGCTGCAGGCGCGTCGTGGCGGCGTCGAGCCCGCAGCCCTGCCCCGCCGATTTGGAGCGGGGCCGCCTCCGTCGGCGTCCCACGGCGCCGTGGAATTTCGTTCCGCCTCCTCCTCCTTCAGTCCCTCCCTCCTCCTCAGATCCTCTCCCTCCCTCCTCCTCGCTCAACCTCCTCTCTCCTCCTTTTCGTCTTTCCTCTCCTCCTCCTACCTGCCTCCTCACACCTCCTCCTCTTACGCTCTTCCTTCCTCCTGCTCCTCGCTTCCTACTCTCCCCTGTCTTCCTCTTCCTCCTCCTCCTCCCCTCCTCCTCCTCCGCCATCCTCCTCCGCCTCCTCCTCTTCTCCTCCTCCTCCTCTCCTCCTCCTCCTCCTGCCTCCTCCTCCTCGGCTCCTCCTCCCTCCCCCTCTCTCTCCTCGTCCGCTCTCCTCCTCACTCTCCTCCTCACTCTCCTCCTCCTCCTCCTCCTCCTCCTCCTCCTCCTCTTCCTCCTCCTGGTGCTCATCCTCATCCTCATCTTCCGGACGAAACTGTTGGGGCAGACGGCCAGCAGCAACCTCGCGGGCCTCGGGGCCCTCCTCGATCGCAGTGACGACGCTGCCCAGATTGCGCCGAGGCCGGCGGGGGCACTTTCCTGCATCTCCTTGGCAGCGCCACCGCTGGATACCCCAGCAAAAGCCTGGGAGCCCGCCAGGTCCTCGACCAGATAGCGCCACCTCCTGCAGAGGCTACCCACGGGGCCCGCAAGGTCCTCAGAACTCCCCGGCGACCAGACCGAAGCTCCAGAAAAGAAAGAGCGACGCGTCGGCGCTGATAACCTCGGGGCTGCGCGATGCTCGAAGGCTCCGAGATACGAGGGCCAGCATGCCCGAGAGAGCGTTCTGCTCCCATTGAGAACCAAATCCCCAATGGCCACGGTGAGACAGCGGGGCAGCCGCCGCGTACAAATACTCGCAGCACTGAAGACTGACAGGGTGCCCACGGTGCAACAAGACGACAAAGGTACCATGTCCGACCGCTTTTCCACGTCACGCGGGTTTGCAACGCGGCAACTGGTCAGCAAGTCGAGCGCCAGCTTTGGTCGCCAAAGCCTTGAACTCTTGGGTCGCGTAGTGCGCCCTTCCCCTCGGCTCTCCCACCCTCAGATTGTCGGCCTCGTGACTGCACGCGCAAACCTCATGAGTGGGGGGACCTTCCAACGTCATGGAAATGCGAACCAGCTGCGCGGCGCTGGAGACGGCCCCCTGGCAGGGTACCCAAGGGCAAACAGTTGTCAACGCATACTGCCAGAGCAAGCGGCTGTGCTCCGGGAAGGGTGCTCTTGTCGGAGCTGAAGGGGGCGTCGGCCAGCTCGGCATTAGAATGCACGACGGACCGATGGATCGACTGGCACGGCACAATGCACGAGCCCACCCTTCGGGAGCACAGCCAACGCAGGCCAAATGCGAGACCCACAGGCTGGAGCGCAAGCCCCAACCAAGTCGTGAGAACAAAATGCGACATAACATCGGAAAGCCTCCGGCAGTCCGTTGTTGTAGAAAGCGTCGCAGATGTCGACGCTGCCCGCCAACGGCCTCTCGCCATCAAGGGCGCCCAGCTCGCCCGGCGACGATCCAGAGGCCAACGCCGCCGAACCCAGCCGCCCTCGCCAGCAGCTCGACCTTCTGCTGTCCACCGCCGTTCGCTCCCAGACTTCCACGCGCAAAAAGCCGCGCACTTCTCGTGGGGCTTGTCGGACAAGTCGCCATCCCAGCGTCGGCGGGCCGCCTGGCGAGGCGCGCGCGCGCGCGGCTGGGCTACTCCTGAGCACCCAGCCCACGTAAGGGCTCCGGGGGGCGGAAAAGATTAGCGTCTCCTTTGTGCGTTTCGAGAAGATGCCCTCGAACAACGACGCGACGTCGCCATCGCCCGAGAGAAGCCGCCAAGGAGGCGCGGGTTCGTCGCCCGGCTCCGGCAACGAGACAGTGGAATCGTCGAAGCCGACAGCTGGCGAATCGATGCCCTCACACACGCCAGCGTCTCGAAGCTCCTCAGGGGACCCTGCGGGGGTGAGGTCTGGCGACGGCGGGCCCATGTTTCGGCGGACCTGAAGCGAGCGATCGCGGGCCTGTCGACGTGGGGGCCTCTCGCCTGGGCACGGGGTGGACGTTCCCTCGGCCTCCCAACCGAGGTCATTCACCGCCCCCACGATGCGGTTCGCCTCCCTGGCTGGCCACAGCACCTCGTACCTTGAGCAGGCGGCGCCGCGCGCACCGAGAGACCGTCGGGAACCGCCGGCCCCTACAAAAACGCAGCCCTTATCAAATCGTTTTTTTTTGTTTTTGGAGGTTATCATCGGCGACCCACAATGCATGCGGCGATGCCCGAAGCAACGACCACCAGCACCGTAGTGGCGTGAACTCCCCGCTCCGTCGGCAAGCCGCGACGCGATTGCGATGAGCTCCGCTACCAGAGCGCGCCACTGCGACGCGGTGCCCCGCAGCCAGCGCACACGCGCGGGCTAAGTAAGGACGCGAGAAACGCGACAATTGTAAAAGGAAGCGAGGAGGCGGCAAGGAGGCACCAAAAACAGAGGCAACCATTATTACGATGGACGGCAGGCTGGCAGAGGCAAAGAGGAGAACGAAGGGGAGGCAGGGAGAGACAGAGAGGGCAGGAGCGTCGGGACGGGGAAAACACAGACACAATGAAAGACGGAAAGAGTTAACGAGAAAAACGTAGTTAGTGACGACAACGCGCGGGGAGGGTCAGAAAGCAACGCAATAACGGAAGCGGGACAGGAGCGCGGAGTGAGCAGAGGGGGCGAGGAGGTACGGACAAAACGAAACTCCAGAAAGGCAACCACCTGCGATCAAAAAGTGGAAGGAGGATGATGGGAAAGCAAGCACGGCGAAACGTTGAAAGAACGAAGCAACCTGAAGTCCCTGCAGAAACGGAGCGCTCCGCGGGGAGCAAGAAGGGGGGATTATCGGTGCGAGTCGCATCTGGGAACCAGGGAAAGAGGAGCGAAACCTGAGGCGCGGAAGGAAGCGGCAAAAGTACTGATGGGAGCAAACCCACGGGGTTGAACAAAGAGCATCGCCACGGGAGCGGGAAAAAGAGGAAGCAAGGGAGGAACACAGAAGTCGGAGAGGAAGAAACAACTAGAGACACGGTGAGAAAAAAACAACGAGTCGCAGGGGAAAAAAGTGGCACACTGCGAACATAATGAGAATGACGCGAGGGGGCGAGGGGCAGAGGCGAAGGAGAGGGGCAAGGAAGGGCAGAAGGTGGGGGGAAAAGGCGGAAGCAAAAGAAGGGCAATACAACAGCGAACACCCTCGCCATGTTTTTCCTCCAGCCGCTTGCGCAGCACGTAGCGTCGCACCTCCGACGTGCGCGCAAGTGCCTTTGCCGCCCTGGGCGGCGCGCGCCCACGGGGGGGAGCAAAGGCTTCGCCACGCGAGGGCGCGCCAACCCCTGGCACGCCGCTGTCCCCATTCCCACACAATCCTCCCCCCCCCCACCCCTGTCACCAGCTGCCGAAGCCAATGCCCCCCCGCGGGCGGGGGCCCCCCAACCTCGTGAGCGGGCCTCGCCCCTCTCGCTCACGCAGGGCGCCTCCGCGGACGGGCGGGGGCGGCGCGAGGGGTCAGGGGGCGGCCGAGGGGGGAGGGGGGCGAAAGAGGAGGTTCAAGCAGCGGCGGAGGAAAGCGGCGTGGAGGAGACAAGCGGGGAGGGCAGGCAGGAGGAGGAGGAAGACGACGACGACGACGAGGGGGGCGGGGAGGAGGAGGGGGAGAAGGAGGAGGAGGGGGGGGGAGGAGAAGAAGAGGAGGGGGGGGAGGAGTAGGAGGAGGAAGAAGAGGGGGAGGCGGGCCAGGAGGGAGCAGAAGGAGGAGCTGGAGGAAGAGGGTCGCCTAAGCCCTTCGGAGGAATCGTTAAGGGCAAGGGCCTCCCCCTCCCCTTCCTCCTCCTCCTCCTCCTCCTCCTTCTCCTCGTTCTCCTTCTCTCCCTCCTCCTCTTCCCCCTCCTCCTCCACCTCCTTCCTCCCCCCCCTCCTCCCCCTCCCCCCGATAGCGTTGCTGCGGCGCGACGCTCGGGCGCGGGCCGTCGCCGAGCGCGCGCGGGAGCGGAACGCCGACGCTCGGCGCGGGTTGCCGTCAACCAGGGAAGGCCCAGGAGAAGGAGGAGGAGGGGGAGGAGAAGGAGGAGGAGGAATAGAAGGGACATGAGGAGGAAGCAGAGGAGGGAGGAGGGAGAATGAAGAAGAGGAGGCGGAGGAGGAAAAAAAAAAAAAAACAAAAAAAAAAACACAATGAAAAGAGGTGGATATTTATTAGGAACACAAAAAAAGGTCGGAGGTAGTCCTTATGTCTTATTAGTAGGAGGGAAAGGAGGCGGATCTGAGTATGGGGGGGGGGGGAGGTCGTGGCGATAAGAAGGAGGGGGGGGGAGGGGAGGAGGCCCTCGCCGTGAAGGTTTTCTCCGAAGGGCTTAAGCGACCCTCCCCCTCCTCCTCCTGCCCCGCCTCTCCCTCCTCCTCCGCGCCCATCCCTTCCCCCCCTCCTCCCGTCCCCCCCTCCTCCCCATCATCCCCCCCTCGTCCTCCTCCTCAGCCTAGCTTGGCAGCTGGATAAAGATGGCCGTAGCCACGATGCTGCCACTCCGCGAAACGAAAGCACAGAGGACGCAACTGCTGACAAGGCCTCTCCTGGAGATGACGGCCTGCTGGCAGGCGTTCCACCCCTAGGCAAAGCCCCT